GAGTCCCAACTCTCTTACACTGAAGGTATTTGGGAAAAAGCTTTTCAAATCACACACTGAATAAGTAGTAAAGTGATTTGTCATCTGCAAAAATAAGTCTAATAATTTCCAACAGCCACCAAATTGTTTAGGTATTTGTATTTTAACCAAAATACGATCACGATATATATTAAAACCAGGGCCCACTCTATGTATTCCATCTCACCTTAGCATCTACTTATTTCTCTTTTGGGTCTCATTTTGGTTTTTTTCAACAATATTTTGGAAGTTTTTGCAAAATGACTGTTAGGCATGGGCAAATTTGCAAATCAAAGAGGACAACTAGCCTTATGTTTCATACACAGCTCTGGAAATCAGGCATCTGGATGCTTTGGCTTGTATAATAAATAACTTTCTCATTCAAAATCTTTTAAGTTATTTACCTCTGTGCAGTTTTTTTTCATCAAAAAGGTGGAGGGTTAAGGATGAAGAAAGTGTTACCTTTTCTTCTCAGAAACACTGTGGAATTCCATCTAATAACGAGCAGGATATTTTGAGCTCCTTGGCTCCAGGAAATGTTGGCTGTGCACATCTAGTTTTTCATGGTTAATTTACAACTATTCATAGATTCTTGAGTTATAGTCCCTTAAGGAAGGCTGCTGATAACTGGCTAGTATGGCTTTTGCATAACATAAGACTTTGCTGAATTATTTCCTCTTAGAAAATAGGAATTAAGACAAATATCTGATCTTCACTTAAACATAGGCAGTGCCAAAGAATTCATCAGTACTTTTGATAAAAGTTGTCAGTGTTTACCTACCATTTCTGTAAAAGTTGCATCTCACTTATCTGAATTTGTCAAGCTACAGCTCAACGTCTCAGCCATCTGGTCCTGTTATACTTCTGTCTACCACACAGGGACTGAAAATCTTTTTTGTATCATCTTTTCAGTCTCTGAGGATATTCTTTTTACATAGGGGTAACCAAGTTATTTCTTTTTTTTCTTTTTTTTTTTTTTCATTGGTAAATGAAACAGACTAATCTTTAATTTTTCTCTGTAGTTTTCCCATCATTTATTAATTTCTAGGCTTTTATCTGGTCCCTTTGCAATCTTTAGGTAGCTTTCCTCATATGTGTATGCTAGAAATTAACATAACATTTCAGCAACAAACATATCAGCATCAAATAGAGAGGTAACAGCCTTTCTTCTTTCCCTTTATGATCTTCTGTCTATATCTACAAGGATCAGCTTTTTGGGTACAGCATTATTTTAAGAGTTTGCCTTTAACGTCTTATCCATTGGGATCATCTGACAATTCTGTGATTACAGTGCAAGAGGATAACATTCTGCATGGTATAGCTATGGCTTGTATTCTTGATATATGACCTTATACTAACAAGATACATTGCTAACTCAGGTAGGCCAGCCTACCTGATGATCAAGATTGTTATGCGTTAGTGACTTGGCATTTTCATTATATTTTTGCTACTTAATTCCTGTGTCATTTTCAAACTTTTATCAGACATCATTTCATTTGCACCAGACCACTTATAAAAGTACCAACGTTTTGATGTCCCATGATGCATGATGAAAAGAAATACTAAACAATAATTCTCTTCAGAGTCCCAACTCTCTTACACTGAAGGTATTTCACAGAATCACAGAATCACATGCAAAATTGAAATTATATTTTGAATAGGTTGAAACCCATGTAAAATGGCTGCTGTGTTAATTTTTTTGCATCATGCTGCTTTGTTGTTAAAATATTTTGAGGTACCAAAACTTTGCTCTATATAAATATTTTAATATTATTTAGTCATATGGCAGTGAGAAGTTTTTTTCAGTGTCATCAATTCTCTGTGAATTTTAATCTCATTTAAAAAAAAAAAAGGTTTGACTGTTTGACATGGCTGATTGACCGCAAGTCTATATTGATTGGCCTCAATTATTTCATCTCCTTTAATTCATTTCATCAAGCTTCATTCCATTTTTTTCATCATTTTGCTCATTGCCAAGATCAGATTGATAGAAATTCAGTAACTCAGATTTTTTTTTGTTCATTCTTTTTGAAAACTGATCCTGTGTTAGCCATTTTCACCTCTTCCTGTTCTAAAAGTCTTACTGACAATCATCATTGCAGTTCCAGAGAACTCTTTAGTAAGTTCTCTAAAAAAACTCTGTGTGCAAGTTTTTCTGATCTCCTAACTGAAAAAAAATGTTTTGCTCTAGTAGTTGTGGTGCTCACTTTTCATCTGAATTAGTTTTGAAAATGAAATCCTTGATACATGAAATCACTTGATACGTATCACCTGGTGGGGTTTGTCTGAAGTACAGGGCTCATTTTTCTTAAATCATGATTGTACCATCAACTTTTCTCTAGTCTACATCAGAAATAACAGTTTCCACAGTGGGACCTTCTAAAAGAATTTATACAAGTTGCAGGTGTAATTCTTGCACCTGTGGCTCCAGGAGATATGTTTTCTGTGAACCTGCTTGACAAAGAGGAGTGGGAACTGCCGGTTTATTTGTAGTACATTCTGCATGCAAAAATTTGTATCTGTGCTTATAGAAAATGGATTTGTGGTTCCAGTTTCTCTAGGGCAAATGCGGCATAAGAACAGCAGTCTTTCCATTCTTAATCTTTTTACTCCTTGTTTTAACATGTAGGGACAGGTAAACCTTTGTCTTCCTCCTGTGTCACACCCAGTATGATTTATTTCTCCAGGAGTACTCTGTTTAGAAAGAAAGTGCAGTTTTCTGCTGCAAAGCCCTGATTTTTGCCCAGTTTAGTAGTTCCACAGGTCAGGCCACAAAGTCAATTGACTGCTGGAGTTCATTCAGTAGGTCAACATATATTATAAAAGAGAAAGCTGATGACCTGCCACTCTTTCTCCTTACTATTAACCTAGCTCTGCTGCTGCCATAATAGTTTTCCCCTTGTTTTTAAATCCATCTCACTTTAATCCAAGCAGAAAGTATCAGTGCAGCATGATAGTTCAGAAGTGACAGAATGCAATTTAAAACTGTATCACAGCCCCTGATTTCCCAGGGGGGCAGCCAAATGTGTTAAGAATTGTAAAGGTGGCTGCCCCAGCAAATGGAAGTGAGGGTTGTCCCTGCGTCCATGCCTGTCAGTGCAGTCACATGTCAAACCCATGGTGAGGAACAGTTTGTCTTTTTCACTAAGGCATGGGGTGATGCTTGACTAGAGACAGTAGCAAAACTATCTCTGATATCATTTGGGAGCAGCAGCAGCAGTAGTTTAGTTCGTGATTAATGATAGAGGAGAAAGTCTGAGTGTCTAAATGGAACACGGTTTGATGGGACATCTCAAATGAAAAGTCCTTCCCTCCACCAGGAATCTGCCACATAAGTTGGACATGATGATATTGATCGATCCCTTCCAACTTGAGTTATTCTATGATTCCATGATTCTATGCTTTATGCTGAAAAGGGTTAGAGGAAGGTTAAAAATAAAGGAGTGGAGCAAACAGACTGAGAGGAAGCACAGAATTTCAGCTTCTACAGTAGCAGATGAGGAAAAAGCCTTAGACAGGCAAGCTGGCACATTGTCAGAAACACGTAATATGGATGGTAGGGTTTCATTGATATTTTTGAATTAATAAAAAAGCTCATTGTCCGTTCCTTTTAAAAACAAATACAAATATAGCCAGCGTGATGCATTAAGATGGTGGTTTGTTCTGCTTGTATCTTCTAAATGTTAAAGGCAGAATATTTAATAGGATCACAAGCAAGGAAATTGTTGTAGGTATAGGAGACCCAAGAGGTGATTAAGGAATAAAAAAGGTTCCAGAAGTGAGATGGCGAAAAAAAAGACAAATTCAGTAAATGTCTTAGCAGATGCTGGTAGATTCACAAGCAGCAGATACAGGAAGAAATTTTAAATTTCACATATTAGGAGAATTCCTTGAAGACTTAGAACTTGGAATTGTTTTCTTCTCAGATTTGCTTCACCTGGTTGCACAAAAGGCTGTTTTGTTGCTGTGTAATATACTCAAGGACTTCAGAGTCAGCATTTTTTAAGTGAGTTTGTTTACTGGCAGACCACCGGAGAAGAAAGCATAGCTGCCTATTTTTGCTGAATAATACTACAGAAATTATTATATGTTGATAGAGTTTTGAAGAAAGCTACCTGAAGAACACTGGATGAATAAACCTTCAGCTGTGTCCTTTGGCCTGATATGTACCAGAATAATGAAATCCCTGAACAATTTTATGCTAATAGTAACAGCAATGGCAACAAGAGGAATATTTCTCCTTCAGCAGCACCTCATTTTGAAAAGCTGATCCATGTGGGAATAAACTACTTCTCTTTTGTGTATAGACTGTCCTCTGAAGACCCAGTAGTAGTTTTGAAGCATTGCTATGGAAAAGCATTCATATTTGAGAGCAATGAAACAAGTTGACTCCTTGGAGACCTCCCTTGCTCAGACCTCTATGCAGTCAGGTTCGGTTTGGAAATTGCAGGCCAGCAATTGCTCATCCAGCTTGGGGTGGTTCCTGCCCAGAGATGAATGTCAACGTTTTGTCTTCTTGCCTTTTCTTCCTTCCTTCACTTGCTAATCATGGCATGAAAGAACAGACATCCTCATTACTTATTAAACTGTTTCTAATTCTAAGTTTCTGTAGTTTTTTCTAGTTAAGCCAATGGTAGCTTGGACTTCTCTAAGCATTTTTGATGCTATTGAGGAACAGGGTTCTCTGGGGCAGAAAGTTGTGATGTAGTGAAATGCAGTTTCAGCAAAAGTAGTCTTTTTTATGCTTGCCACTGATCTGAGAAACAACAGTGATCTTAACACATGGCTGATTCAAATCACTTACTTCCTATTAATCCATCTATCATATAGATTTTCATTTGTGATGACATTTCTTCTATTTTCTTCTAGATGCAAAGAGTTTGGCTGAAATGCTTATGAGGTAAGAATGGATTTAATGTTTTTATATTAAAAGACCTCTGTCAACTACAGCATCATGTTTAAAAACTAATATAGGTACAAATGGAGAAGTAAGCCTTCCATTCCTAAATCATTTTTCAAAACACACCACTTGACTGTTTATTAAGAACACGTTGGTTTATTAGGACACGTTGGTTAGAAATGGGAGAAAAAAGACAATTTGTGGACAGTACCTGAGAGGGAATACAATGGTAAAAAACTGAGAAATCTTGTGTTAGTAGATTAAATTATTGGAGCTATGTAGGTCCATTTGGACATTTTTCCTAATCAGAAAAACATTTTTGTAATATGTACCGAAGTAATTGCTCTTCAGAGATCATCTGATTGAAGGCAGTAAGTGCCTGGATGCGAATACTCCTAAACTTTACAGTTATATTAATGTAATTCACTATTGCTAGCTGTGTATACCCAAGGTATAGAAGAGCAGGTAAATCAATTTATTATTTTTCAGTTCTTTTATGTCAGCTTAGCATACAGAAACTTAATTTAGTTGTTGAATTGCAACAGAATGACTTCTGGCACCACAATTCTTTCAAAGGTGGAAATGTCATATCTTCAATGTTTATTGTTTTGTCTGGGGAAAACACTGAACTTTACTGCATATATTTGAAAATTAGATCACCAAGGGATTATTTTTAAATTCAAATGAGTTTTTGTTTGCTAGAAAATATTTTCATTTTTAAGCAACAAATTTGAAAATGTCATCAATACATTACCAGATACTCTAAACTTCCTCACCTGTGGTAAAATTCACCTGGTATTATAAGAATATACTTACCAAAGACATGGTGACAGATGCTTTTAGTGTAAACTCAGCTCTAAGCCAACAGTCTGAAAATACGTCTGAATAGTCCCACTGTTGTTAACAAGAATGGTCATGCAGGTCAGGTCGTACCCTTCCTATATTGCAGTTAGAAACCCCTGCTAGCAGCAAATTGCAGGTTTAAGCAACTTCGGGAAGATATGCTCTGATATTTTTCAGTGTTTCAGAAAACAGCACAGATTAGCATATGCAGCAAGTCTGTTCCCTAAACAAACCCAGCATAAACTGGCTGAAACTCCTGGATGAAGATATTCAGTCCAGTGACAACCACACATAGCACCTCTGCAAAACTGGTAAACCTCTGCCTTCACCTTCGTTAGCTTCACTAGTCTTGTTGATGCCTCTGCAAAGTCTGAGTCTCACTCCTCTGATGCTTAGAAAATTTCATTAAACTGCCAACATAAGTGCCCAGTTTTGACCCATTTCTTTCTCTGCTGATGTCGACCTTCAAATTAAAGAACTTCTTTTGCCCTCCTAGCCTGATGCACTCAGAGAACAGTCAGGTCCCTTCCCAGCCTTTAGTTCAGAGCTGTTTTTCTAGGTAACTCATCTGCCACCATTTCTTTTTGCTTTTCCTTTCACAATTGAAACATGATCATCAAGTCAGTTTCTCCCATCTCGTTTATTAACAAATATTATTTTTATTAAATAATCATATTTTATATGTCTCTTCTATAAGTGTGAACAAAGGCAAATGGCTATTAGAACAGGACTTTAGAGGAAGTAAGGGTTATAGGCGCACATTTGCACACATTTCATAACTTGAAGCTCTCAAAGTGATGCTGGTCTGGGGAGCCTGCTTTCTACAGGCTAAGTGCTCTGTCATTTGTGATAAATCTGTGAAGTACCTCCACCTGAAACCTGAGCTACCCATCATCAGTAGATGTTCCTGAAGATTTAACATTTTAATAATCAAAGGATAATAAACCCTCTCCAAAGCAATTGCCACATATTATAAAGCTCCTGATACTTTATATCTTTTAGATTTCACCAAGATCTGCTATGAAATATTTTCAAAAAAGAGGGTATGCTGTGGGTTATGCTTTGCTGTTTAAGTACTGAACAGAGACCAGAAAAGATTATTCCCTGCTTGGTAGGAAGGTGTGAGGGAAGGAAAGAGCTTTGTGCATCTTTCCCTTTGAGGAGATTTTTATGAGCACGTGTAAAGCGGATTAAGAGTGGAGCTTTAGTCTTTGCTTTGAAAGTCGCTGGCTTTAGCTGTGTAAGTCAAATGTCTGGGGAGCAGGATAAGCTGCAGAAGTTAGCAGTTTAATGGAAGCTGCACAACGTGTTGCTGATACCTTAAACTCACAAATAAAAATCCCTGCTGCTCTGCAGTCACAGCTTTTTTATGTTTCTTTTGGGTGAAAGCATCAGGCCAGACAACTTCTTTGTAACAGTTCACTGTGAATCAATACAGCAATTGACTGAGCTTTCTAATTTTGAACACAAGTTGAGGAATCTTTTTTCCCCAAATATTCCTCTGCCAGGCTGATTACTTGCAAGATTTAGTTTTCCATGCTTTTACAACAATCAGCTTAGACATCAGGAAACTGTCAGGTGGCCTGACTCTCTGCCAAGGACCCAGAATGACTTTGGGTTTACAGAGCACCATATTTAATCCCTTTATGTAACCGGCTTGGCAGGTTTAACTCGCTCCTGTGCATACAGATATTTTCAGTCATTCAAGTAAGTATTTTTTTATTAAAGATTCAGAAAGATTATTTAAAAGGGAGTACTCTTTTAACTATGCATACACTTTCAAAATACCTTGCACATTGTATTTCCTCTGGAAAAAGGCCCATTTATCCACAAACTGTACCTAAAAGCTGTACTCCATCAGACCCAAAGGCCCACGTACCCAAGTATCTGTCTTAGTGGCCAAAAGCAGACACCTTGGTAGAGTAAAAGACTATAGAAAATGCGTACTGACTCATTCCCTCAGACAGGCTCTGAGTCTCTAACAATTTGGAGGTCAGAGATTCATTGAAGTAGAGGGAACTAATTGTATTACATGCAGATCCTTACAAGGTCTGACAGGTAAAGAATAGCCATAGCACATGTTTAAGTTTGGGAATTCTGTATCTGTAGGTTAAGGAAAATATAGGTCGATATGTTTCCTCCCTTTAAAAAATTAAACATTGAACTCCTCATGCACCAGACTTATAATACTTTGATGCCCAAATTTTCCTAGTTTAGAAAATGGCACCAAGCTTCAAAATTGCAGTCCTAAAAATTACTTTGCCTTACTGCCAAGTACTAGAGGTACTTAATTGCTGTTGGCACTTTAAGTTTTTATAACCTGAAAGTTGAGCTATTATGGTCTGCAGAAAATAATTCAAAATTTCTTGAACCAGAAAGAAATAGCATGAGAATCAGCAGCAACCCTCTTGCTACTGCCAATTGCATGTTCTTTTTGGAGACTCCATGTCACCATGCTACTGCATACAGGAGAATCCATTAGACCAGTAAGGAGAAGGAGAGAGATCACACAAAACGTGGCATAACTCTCAAGTATAGTAGGGAATTTTCCTGAATATAATGAGGCCTGTATTCCAGTTCTGGCTTGAAGGACCTTCTGCATATTTTGCATAAAGCTATCCCTGAAGCCAAGAATGGGATACAGGATTCCCTCTGGCAGGTGAGGAATATAACTGCAAACCTGGGAACTGTCCTCCTGCTCCCTATGGTCCAAACTACTTCTGGTGTGGTTGAGTACTTTGTACTAGTAGGAATATAGAAAGTTCATACTGCAGAAGAGCCTCTAGCTCTCACTGGGATTCTGGGGTCTGCATTCTTTGAGGAAGATCTCTGATTTGATCCCTTTGTCTCCTCTGTCCCTGGTGAGTGGAGAAGAGGTGCAATGATACCTTTATTAGACTTGATTATGTATTGCACAGATTCTGAATGTATCTGATTGCATGTATCCTATAACTATTGGATTATTGATTATTAATTGAAATTGGACCTCAGACATTCAGTTTCCTACTTGATCACAGGTTTGCTCTATGATCTTGGACAGGCCCAGAGTAGCTCAACTTTTCAAGGGCATGTATTCAAGCATATTTGGCATGCAGATAATATATTAGTCTTTGATTACCTTAACATTTCAGCAACTTGAGTGGAAACCAATAGGAGAGTACACTATATAATCCATGCAGAACATTTGCAGAGACTTTGAGAACATCAATGTGGAATTTATCTGCATTTTAGGATCCTAAATGTCTTTGAAAATTTATGTGCTTAATAAGACACTGTGACTACTATTTTCCACTGATTATATATGGAGAAAAATCTGATAGCCTTTGGGTAGCTCTCCTGATATTTTGCATCCATAGTGATTAAATGAGGCACCAGTTGTAGGCTGTTTGAATGCATTTCAGCTCTCCATCTGTATCTGATGGCAACAGTACCACCTGACCCCTCAGGTAAAGACAGAGACATTAAAGTGTAAGATTCATGGATAGTGTTAATGCTGGGGACCACAAGAGCAGGGAAAGCAAGAAGGTGAGAATCAGACAGAGAGAGAGGTACTTGTGTGCCTTGAGGATCTCATTCTTGGATTTGGAGCAGAATTACTGACCACATGACAAGGAATTTCCTCCTGAAAAGGACTATAGAAGAACCTCCATACCTGCAATACTTAGGTCTTGCTCACATGAAGACACAGCAGGAAGTTAAGGCAAATTGTCTAGCGATGTGGGCTCATCACACATGCATAAACCATCTGTGTAGAGGCCCACACTCAGGGAAGAAGTGATCTTATCATCAAGCATCCTAATAGTCCTCTGATGATTGCATTAACAACAATAATTCATTGCCAAAGGAGAATTAAACCAAGTGATCTACGGCTATTTCACACTAGAAAATGAGCCTCCACTTGTATTTTAAAGCTCTTTGAAGTGTGAGGATTTGGATCACACTACTGGTTGATTTGTCTTAACTTTCCTCAGCATCCCTGCATGAAGGTGTATTAGCAAATATTTCCTCTCCTCCAAAGAGTAATTACATCTAAAAGGACAAAAAGTTTTTAGTGCAGTCTGAAGGTTTCTTGGTGCAAGTTCTATACTAGAAATGATTGTAGCACTCAGTTTTACTATCCATTTTCATTTGCTTTCAGTAGACAGCTCATTTAAGAAGTCATTTTCTGGTACACAAACTTCAAAATGAAATTGTTTCAATTTGCATAATGATAGAATAATTGTTTTATGTTCTTTTTCAGAATATTGCATCAATCAATTAGAAATAATCCATGAATGTAAACAAGATTTGCAATTTTAGACTTAGAACATCAATGGAACTAAAACCTTTATTTATTTTATGTGATTTATTAATGGAATATCTAGTTATTAATTTGCTTTTTAATTAATCAGTTCTAGTGATATTTGGAATTTATCTAATGAAAAATAATGAAAAATTGAAAAAAAAATTAGAAATTACTCAAGACTTCATTTTCCTACCAACCTGTTTGATCAGCTGTGTGTATCTTTACTTATATTCATGAAGAATGAAAGAAAAGATCCATCTTGTGAAGTGTTTTTACTAATTTCGTTATATGACAACACTTGAAGAAAACTATATGAAATTTTCAGGCGATTCCCTACTGATAAAGAATAGACCAAATGCCTCAACACTGTGCATTCATCTAACTTCTTGTCATGTGCAATAATTAATACCATGCACTTGTTCTGAAGAGGGGAAAATGAAATATATGAGTATTTTGCTGATTATAGTTATATCATTTTTTGTTTGAGCTGGACAGATTTAAAATGAGGAAGTTTGCATGAGAATCTTTTAATTTAGGCTAAATGTTCATGTGTTCACTTCTCTCTTGTTTTTAGCAAGAACACCAGGACATCAGATACACTTAATAAGCAGCAGCAGACACTGAGGATGCACATAGACATTCCTAGAGCACAACTTCTGATTGAGGAGAGGGACACGATGGAGACCATTGGTAAACTCTTGGGCTTTTTTTCACTGGTTAATGGAACAGGCATTTTTACCCCTCACCTTTTTCCCCACTGCACACATCAAGAAAAAAGAACTACAGTGTAATTTGCCACATTCAAAAACTGAATTTTTTGCTGCCCTTTGAATAATTTTCCACTTTAAGTCATCTCAGTACAGTATTTAAAATAATGACATTAGGAAAATGAAGCTCTGGAAAGAGCTGCTTGAAGAAAATGTAAATTAAAACTGACAGTTTTATGGTTTTCATTTTGATTTCTCTTTTGGCTTTGGCTAGACAGTTGGATCACTGGCATTACTTATAAGGAAAATGAAATTCTGAAGCTACAATATCCGTATTTAAAGCTTTGGAACAGCCAACTTCTAAAACTTACATGTTGCATATTGTATCCACACTTTCATAGCAAATTATATTTCAACATTTTGATCAGTTTTCAGCTTTTGTGTATCTATACAAAATTCAAATCTAAACTGTTTCAAGCAACAGAAAACAAGATTTCTCAGGTGGCTGGCACATAGCTGAACTGTCATGAAAAACAGAATTTTTTGGTGTTGGGCTATTTGCCAATTAATTTAAACACAAGATATCTGAAAGCTCAACAGAATAAAAATGCAACCTGATCTTGTGACTGTATGGGTACACACTGTGACTGACCTTGTTAGACTTCTAACTTTTTTTTGGATCAAAATTGTGTAGAAGAACCCTGTGATAGCTGAAGAACAAAACAGCATCCCAGGTATGGTGTGGCTGGAGAGGAAAGCTCTGCAAGCTGGGAGCAGCATCTCTGCATCTACTGTCCATGCCTGCACTGGGGAGGGTCAAGCTGCTTTAGCCCCACAATCTGTCACACTTGCTGTCAGGCTGGTATTGCTTGGGGGGTGGCCTCAGGGGACATTTCATAGTTTGTGCTGCAGAGTTGAAAAGGAGACCTATGCTTCACCTGAAATACGGCATTTTTTTAATCCTGATTTGAGCTTTCCAAAGTTTGCCTCTGTGATGTAATCTGTGCCAAGCTTCATCCTAAAGACAGTTTTTACTTCTGAGTTACAGTTGTTGAGCAATAAGGGGTTATAGTGGAAAGACCATTAGTGCTTTAACTGTAGCAATGCGATCAGTGCCTTGCTAATAGCCAGCTCCCTACAAAGCACTCAGAATAAGCAGACACTTTGGCAGTCTTTGACACAGTTGACTGCCAAGAGGTTTTATTCCCAACCTGAATAAGAGCTCATCTTTTGCCAGAGAAAGAGTAATTTGATTTAATAATGCTTTTTCTATTTATGGCCTTCTTTGGGTAAAAAATGCTAGTTATGTTAGTGTGCAGAACTGTTTGCCTTCATGGTGTCTTGTCAAGTTAGAAAAAAACAACAGGAATGCTTAGAAGAAGCAGATTAACCTCTGCTGACTAGTAAATGCATGGAAGCCTCATTGCTGCCAGTCCCCTTAGAAATAGGTTACAAAGCTATGTAGCATAGCATAGCAGGAACTTCTTGTGGCTTTTATTACTATTATGAATGGAAAAAAAAGACTGTAAAGAATGCAGAAGAAAGTCTGTTATCATGCAAATAGTTGTTCTGCAAGCACAAAGTCAGTGGAAGATTTATTGCTGTTAAACCTTCCATGATCGAGTGAACCAGATTCCTCTTTGCAGCGGAAGAAATACATACAGAGATCACAACTGAAAAAAAAAAAAAAAAAAAAAAAAAAAAGAAAAAAAAAGAAAAAAAAAGTGCTGTATAGCACTGGCTTTCTGCAGAGATCAAGGTCTGTGTAGAAATTTAATGAATATGTCCTACTCCATAGGGTCCATAGGGAAGCAATATGCAGCAGAACCATACAGCAGTAAAGGTCACTGCTCACCTTTTTCTTCCAGTCCTTCCCAAGGTCAGACTTCACCTTGCACCTTTCTTTTTAGCTGCAGAAAAGCCCATAGTCAGCTGGACTGACTATCTTGAGAGAAACTTATGTGACTCATATAAAGCTCCCCAAAGCTTCTCTTTCAGACCTACAGTAGTGAGGCTGGGTGCAGAGAGAGCTGAGACGACTTAGCCCATAGCTTCCAGAACAGTAAAATACAGGATGCTTAGCTGCTCTGCAAGTATATTTCCATTGTCTTCACTACAATACTCATGTGCTTAAAAATAAGGAGCTCCCTAAGAACAGTCTTAGGTCATGGCCAACCCTTCTGCAGTATTCTGCCTCTGGAGAAAAAGCTGGCTGGTAGAGGGTTAGTTAGCAACATTACCTATTGACCTCCTCTTGGGAAGACATGGGTGATTTCTCCGAGGATATTACTAATTATGTTAATAAAGAGAAATAAATTTAATACGTTGTTGAAAAGCTCAGCTGAGCTCTCTGAAAATGGAAGGGGAAAGGGCAGTGTTCAAAAGATGGGAAAGAAGGAATTAGGTCCAAAAATAATTACACACAAATTAGCTTTTTGGAAGGATGCTTAATAGTCTGTCTCGGTTGTGCATCTCTGAAGTGAAATCACAAAGACAGACATGAAAATAACATTTACTTTTTAGTTTTGTATGAACTTCTGAGTTTAAACCCAGAGACTCCTAGGCTGTGGTGCACACTTCAAAACCATCTTCAGTCCTGCACAGAAGAGGAAGCTGCCACTGCCAGTGGTGGTGCCCAGCTGAAAACAAGTCTGGAGACTTGCTGTAAAGCTCTTATGAAGGAAAACCCAAAATTCGTTACTTGTCATCTGATGTTTTTTTTTGCTTACAGATGACAGATCAACAGTTCTGCTCACTGATGCTGACTTTGGAGAGACGTCTAAGCAGAAGTCACTGACTGTCACCCACACAGTACATTACCAGTCTGTGTCACAGGCTACAGGACCACTGGTGGATGTTTCTGATGCCCGGCCAGGAACAAGTAAGCATATAAGAGAATACGTTATCTGGAGAGGAGAAAGCTATAAGAAAATGAATATTGTGCTCCTGCATTTGCAGCCTCATGGGGTTTTTCCTTCAGTCTAAAAGTTGAGAGAAATCTATTTAGGTCAGCAGAGAAGATTTCTTTTACAATTGCATTTAGTGATTCAATATGGTAAAAATGGCATATGCATCTGAAATGTAGATGTAATTTGAAATAATTCATACCTGGCTTTCATTAAACCAAATGCATGCTAGATTTTAATTTCTAGAATTTATTGAGTAAATTAACTTAATGGCTTTTAGTGTCTAATACATTTTTTTTCTCAGTGATCAATCTTTATTGTATTTCAAAATATGTCTTCCTTCCTTACCTCTTCATCAGGTAAGAAACACATTTCTCATTATTGCTTTTTTGAAGAAAATTGTATTTCCAGTTTTAGTTACTATAATAAATTACTTTTCCCAGATATATTAATGCTGAGTTATTTTTATAGTGATTAAAATACTATCATAAACTAATACCCTGTTGCAATCCATTCTTCTTGAATATGTTCTTCTCATGAATATGTTCTTCTTGAATATGTTCTTCTCATGAATATGTTCCATATAGGTGTAAATGGAAAAGGAAATCACTAGATTGAAGGAATACTCATGAGTTAGGAATATTACCAAAGTGTAGTGCACAAGCAGTGTGCAATTTCTAAAATCTTTGATTATTTCTATCCCCTGACCATTTCAGAATTTGTTTTCTTGGTGAGTTCGGTGAACATAAATGCTGAAAACTCAGTTGTGCATCACCTAAAATGCAGATTATTTGAAAAATCTTCATTTCCACCCCAGACTTTATAAATGACAGCTCTTGTAGTCCTGACCTTGCTGCTTTTCTAACTCTGATAGTTTTAAGCTCTGGATAATTATTTCTTGAGGACTAGATTGGTACCATCATCTGGATTTGCTTTTTCCTCTGTGGAGAGCCATGGCATTTGAATTAGAACAGTCAAGATATGACATTTGTGTTCTTTTTGATACTAATCTTTTCTTGCTGTTTTAGTTCATGTACATACTGGCTCACCTGCTCACTAAGAGCAAAAAAAAAAAAAATCATATCATTTTTGTCATGTTGGCAGATCAAGATCATCTGAGTAAACAATGGATTCCCCATTGTTTTCCAACTCTGCCTTTTCTAATAAGGACAGAAGCACCACCCCAAAATTGCCTGTTATATACCACACCACAGCATTTTATAGCACCAGCATCTTCCATTTCTAATCCCTTTTTGTGCACAGTTATGTACTTCAGTCCACTGAAGTCAGGGAGAGACTTCCCTCAAATTAAACTGGGATTTAACTTCTATATGACAGTATGATCTGTGTCCAGCCCAGCATTGGAAATAGAAAACAACCATCACTTTTATTATGCAGTAAAGGTCTGATTGCAGTAATGCACAGAGCTGGGTCAAAGACTTACAGGTTGTGTTTTCTGGGTTTAAGACACTAATACAGCTTTGATAGTGGCTGGGCTATGAGATTTTGTCCAAACACACAGCTTTCTCTGTGAAGAGACATGCAGTGCTCAGCTGGGTGGCTCAGAGGTTATGGATCTTCCCATCTAAGCACACTCACTGATTGGCAAATATTCCCTTACAGATCTTTCTAAGTTGTTCTCTATTTCGTATTTATTTATAAAAGAGGTGTGCTTCATGAACCTTTGCCTTGCTTATCTTAGCTCTCTACAGCCATGTTTCAGCATATGAGAGCAGAGCTGGCTTGACAACTAGGGCACCAGATGTGCACTGTTTTCCATCACACAGGCAGCTCTGGAGCTTGCTGCATCTGTGCGACACAGTCTCATATGCAGGCGCAGCACAGCTGGTGCAGAGCTACTGCTCAGCACATGCTCAGCAGGACAAGCACTCACCTCCTGCATGCTGGCAGCAGGCTGTCCTGCCTCCTTCAAGTTGCTGATTAAAGCCTTCTGAATAACGGGATCAGAGAACAGTTGAAGTTGGAAAGGACCTCTGGGCACTGGTTAGTCCAATCCCACTGCTAAAAGCAAGGTCAGCTAGAGCCAGTTGCCCAGGGCCATACCCAGATAACTTTTGAATATCTCCAAGGTTGAAGACTTCACCATCTCACTGGGCAACCTGTGCCAGTGCTCAGCCAACCTCACTATAAAGTGTTTCCTGATGGTCAGAGGGAAGCCCCTGTGTTTCACCTTGTGGGCATTGCCTCTGGTCCTGTCACTGGGCACCAATGAAAAGGGCCTGGTTCTATCCTCTTTGCACCTTCCTTTCAGGTATTTAAATATGTTGATGAGATCCCCCTGATCCTTCTCTTCTGCAGACCATGCAGCCCCAGCACTGTGCCAAGAGTTTTCCCACCAGCACTCTCCTTCTGTCCTTCATATCTTCCCTCAAAGCAGGCACAAGCCTCACTTCTGGCTGCACAACAGCCATGTGCCAACTTTCCACAGCTGGTACAAGTGGTGGTTTATACTGATAGGCTGGTCACGTTGTGCCAAGTGTGTTTTTGGATGTTATCCATGTGAGGTGGCTGTGTGCTGCACTACCAGGAGGATCAGTTATCAATGGCACCAGGTTCATGTTTTTCCGCTGCTGTAGGGGGAAGATGAGAAATAAGAGAAGGATCAGACCACAGCTGGTATTTGTAAATAAATACCTTGTTTCTTTAAAGCAGCAGAATACAGATTCTTGTTGGGAATGCTTAGGTAGAAGCAATGCTCAGAGTCATTATCTGGGTATTTTTTTTTTTCCTTAAATTGCTTCTGCTAAAGTCTCTTACCTCAAAGACTGACAACTTCACCATTTGAATGTCAAAGAACATTTGAATAGATTTTAATTTTTCATTTTGAATCCCCTTTCTCTCTATTGTTAGTAATATCCTTTCAGAAGCTTCAAAGATAAATCCTTTAGTGCTGATTTAGTCACTTTCTGTTTGCCACATAATGTTTTTTTTTAATTCCACTTGCTTTGTTATGGAGTACAAGCCTCACTTTTACAGAAGAAGTATTTATTAAAAAAATTAAGGAGAGCAGTTTTGGGAGATAGTTTGTTTTTACTCCCTTGGTCACCATATTACCTGTAGGATAATAAAAACCAAAACATTAATGACATTAAACAAGTAGCAGATGATTTTTAAAGTTTAAGAAATTGTATTTTAAAAATATTTTTTAAATAGTCAAATCTTTATGAGCCTGTTCCTACTGAAACTCTGATGGCTAACATGAAACTGTTACAGGTTATGTTTTATGTCTTGGCTACTTGTTAAAAAATAAGGAAATCTGTCACTAATTAATACCATAATATAGTAAAAGTATTAGTAAAATGTTGAGAATAGAAAATATCACCACATTTCTGTGTACATATTTTTACAAACTTAGAGCAGATACCTGATGTAGGTGTTTCTGAGGGCACATCTACACTGATAATTTACCTTAGACTTAGCTTGACAATGTGGTTTTGGTACTGGAGAACAGTTTATGTTGGAATAAAGCAATAATGAATGTTTCAATGGGAGATTGGTAGGGCTCTCAGCTCTTCAGTTGCACCCTTTTTAACATGTATGGTTCCATTAGAAAGAGGATATTACAAAAAAGTGTTAGCAGTTTAGTAATGAACTTTCACTGTTCATTTTTTTCCCACAAAGAATGTTTTGTGGCTTTTTTTAAGCAACATGATGTCAGTGGCCGTCCTCTTCTGACAAGGCTTGTTACCATATCAATTCAAGAGCCTAGTGGCAAAGACCCTCTCTGTTATCCATCACAGATCCTACCACAAGGAGGAGTGCCAAAACTGGACCCACAGCTCGCAACCGCTACGCTAGTCAGTGGACCCTCAACAGACCTCACCCCACCATATCAGCTCATACCCTCACCACAGACTGGAGGCTGCCCACCCCCAGGCCAGCAGGATCGGTGGACAAGGAAAGCGACAGCTACAGTGTCAGCCCCTCGCAGGACACAGGTACCGGGCTCTCTGCAGGGCTTCACTGTGAAAGCGGGACAGCAGTAGCTGCAGTAACCTTCTTGGTCCTTGATGTACTTCATCTGGTGCTTAGGTGTCACTATTTCTTCCTTGCTAGGGTGTTTTTCTGTACGCTATTTATAAGGGGTGCCACAAATGCATATAGTGCTAGTGATAAAAAATATTATACCTGTGGTTTCTCATGCCACACACACATCCTGGAGTTCTTTGAAAGATATAGTGGTATTTTCTCCTGTAGCTGAAGCACCCTACTTTCTGTATCTGAAGGAAATAGGAGAATTTGCTGCATGAAATGGCATTGACCATGAAGGGGCAGTATTAGCAACCAAGACTATGCCTGAGTCATAGTTGGAATGGTTTAAGGTTTGAGCTACATTAAGGTTAGTATTTTCCTTTTCCCATTCATGTAATATGTTCATAGGGGTTTTTTTCTAAGCAGCAAAAATGAGAGGGAAAAATCTGGAGTTAGAGTCCGAGTCAAAATCCATTCATATCACTGAATACTGCAGCAACTACCTCTGATTTCCTGAGGAAAAGCATAAGTATTTTTCCTCTAGACGATAAGTGGGGAGACACTGAATACATATTCTGCCTTCAATCTTCATCTCTCCTTGATGTCTTCACATTATAAATGCAATTGTAACTGAAAAAAAAGGCTTTCTCCTCTGCCCTACACTGAACAAGTGGCAAAAAAAGGCAAATAAATGAGTAAATTATTAAGCAGAAGAAGAGTCATGAAGCAAATCTAATAAAGGTCTATTAAACCACACAGCAAATTTGTAACCAGACTTCATAATCTATGTTTTAACACAGCTGCTTTCCTGCTCCGTGTCTACCCCTGAACACACAGTAATTTATGTGAGGGATAGCAAGCTTTAGATCATGCTCAAGAAAGGTTTTCTTGTGCCAAAATATAGCTCTATTATGCCACTTGGTTTCTGGGAAAAGACAGAGTCAGTTCAATCTAAGTATTTCAGAAGTTTAAAATTTCTAAATAAACATTATAACAGATGAAGCCAAATTATGTGTTCAAGAATCAATTGAACTAATGTGCATATCTGATCACTTTTCCAATATGGAGTTCAGATTTGTGAGCCTAGTTGATGCAGTTGATATTTGGCAGAATTCAGCACTGCTTATCGAAACAATTCCAGGTTTACAAAGCAGTAGCTTTTAGCTTAGGAGAAATGTATTGCAGCAGTTCATAGATGTAACTAAGTTCAAATGTTCTAACTACAGAACATTAGAAATTTTCTGATGAATCTGTGTTTCATGTCATTCACTTTGAGCTTAGATGAATTTTCATCAAATCTACAGTAGGTGTTCAAGCAGATTCTTACTGGAACAGTCTCCTCAGTGCATGGGTTATGGGAAGATGCAGGTCCTGAGCTTCATGGACCAAACTGGGACCTTTGCATGACCATCATATTTACAGACGCTAATCTATGGCACTGGGCAACTGCAACCTTCCAGGAATTTCCAGTTGATCAGAAATTTAGAAAGATATTATTTTGGTATGATTTACAAATCAAATGTGAAAAACAGATTGAAGTTTCCTGGGGTGAGGGGGAAGCCTTGTTTAAGTTCTGGCCAGGTCAAAATTTAAGCAAGTTACAACATTTTGTAGAAGCACTTGTCATTTTAAATAATGCATGGTCTTATTTACAAGTGGCAGGAATGTTGTTCTTTGTGCCCGATGAAAACTAATGCAAGGATCCTAGTACACAATAAAAAAGATAAAGATTTGCAATAACAACACACAGTTGCCTCTGGCTGCCATAGGAGTCCCATTTTTATAAATTAGCTGTTACATTGTGCCTGTTTATTGAACATCACCAACATTGTCTGAAATTGTACAGAACTTGTGATGAAACATGACTTCTACACAAGGAACTTCTGAAAGTCCTCTTGCTCTTCCAGCCCACTGAAGTAGGAGTGTGATGGGTGTAACAGACCAGTGATTTGTCCCTGCACAAATGAGCACTGCATTTCCAGAATGCTTTTTAATGTAACAGTAGCCATTTACATCTTCAGTAATAATGCTTCTTTAAGAACTATTGATATTCTCGGAAAATCATCAGCAGAAAAGGTGTAGGTCATAATAGCCTGTGTGTCAAATATGAAGCCGCCATTAGCTCCAGCAGCATTGAAAAAAGCACCTGAATGACTGCAGACTGGCAGCTACCAAACAATATTGTTTTCTTAAGACTTTTGTTTCGTATGAAATGAGCTAGTATTTTACCTGGTGGCTGAGACAATCAGAGACTGTCTGAGAGACACTGCCTTTATGTTTCACCTTTGTACTCAGGGCTTTCACAAAAGGAAGATATAAGATTGAAACAAGTACAGAAAGACATCACATCAAAGAAATATTTGAGATTCATTAAAAAGACAATGTAAAGAAGTTGTACCTCATTTTGCTAAATGTTTTGTGGATTTATAGCATTTTTAAGGCATTTAACTTTTAGAGAATTTTTTTTATTTAAAAAGTAACCTTTTTCATGTATTAAAGGTTATTTCTTCTAAACCACAAATTTAATGCTAAGACACACAATTCTGCTAGCAGAATAAGACTTCACTTTAGATTATCTGTAATTATCAAGCAACTGACTAAACTAAAAATTGTGCAGACATTTATAGTGAAGCAGACTCATTTAAATCACCTCGATAATTTCAAGGGCTCTGCATTTTATTAAGAAGTACTGTCATGTTCATAGTTTTTATTAAAAAAAGGATTGTGCAAATGTTTTCTTTCTCCCATTATTTATATTTCTGATGTTTAGATAGAGCAAGAAGCAGCATGGTCTCCACAGAAAGTGCCTCCTCAACATATGAAGAGCTAGCAAGAGCATATGAGCATGCAAAAATGGAAGAGCAGCTGAGACATGCCAAGTTCACCATTACAGAATGCTTCATATCAGACACATCATCGGAGCAGCTCACGGCAGGGACTAATGACTACACAGACAGTCTGACCTCAAGCACACCGTCAGAGTCAGGGATTTGCAGGTTTACTGCATCCCCCCCGAAACCTCAGGATGGAGGGCGAGTGATGAACATGGCAGTTCCAAAGGCACATCGGCCAGGTGAGACATTAGAGGTAACATTTTGGTTTTTGGCACGAGCATTTCACCCCATGCCTAGGCTGGTTAACAGGAGAAGGTATATTACAAGGAAGAAAGTGCACGATATATCCTGTAGCTGCTTACAGAGATAATTGCTTTTTTGTCCCAGCTAATACAAATTTTGAGTGTATTCTCCCTTACACAGAAAAATTAGGAGCTTGTAAATTTAGGAACAGAAGGGGACTGTCTAGGCCATCAGATCCACTCCTCTACAGCTGCAGTCATCAGGCAATAGACCCTTCTGGGATAAATAAAACCATATGGGGGTACACGTGCCCATCTCCAACTCAAACCACCCACTAATAAAATGTGTCTTGCAGCAAAACTTTATGCTTGAGAGCAAAGCTTTGCTATCAGAACAGTTCATAAAGACAGATTGTAGAACATGTACCCTTCTGCCTTGTAGCTTGTCAAAGATATAATAACCCTTCAGTTATGTTATCGAGCTGTTATACTCTGTCTTTGGTATCTCCTAATACCAAACTGGGATTATCTAAAGGGAGGAAAATAAAAAATGGAGAAAATTAAGACAGTGCAATAGCTCAAGGGATATGGAGCCTTCTACCTTTAGACAAATCTACTCTAACTTCTTACTGACTAAAGGTGCCTGAGGGACATTCACCTATTGGACTCAATCAAATTTCCATTTCACAAAGAATGCTGTTTCTAGTGATAATCTAGTGCACAATAGTATAGGTAGATTATCTGTGGTACTCTGAGATCAAGCACATTGTAAAATCTTCCCATAAGATTTGTCAGTCTTCACAGAATACATGATGTGACATCATGGAGGAGGATTCCAATGGAAAAAAGTCAAAATTATGTTTGTGTGCTTTCTGAAAACATTATTTTATTTTATTTTAGTATATACATTTGCCAGTGTGGGTGAGGCTACTTATATACACAGAAAGTAAGCAGTAGTGCTCATATATGTAAAAAAGAGTAATGAATAAACTATGGTCTTTTGCTTAATATACACCATAAGTGGAAAAGCAGTTGTGAGGACAGAGGAATGGAAGGTAGACAATGGTCTTAGGAAAGTCATTCAAAAGCAGGACCTGACACTGAACAGAAAGCACAAAGGGTTTTGCTAGAGAAAGCTAAAAGAAAATGCGAGAGGAAAAAAAACTGAGCAGAAGGTAGAAAGTTATAATACACAAGTCAGGAAATTAGTGTATCATACAGATAGATAAGAGGGAAAATAAGTAGGAAGTAAAATAGTGAGAGAGATGACTGATTTCTGTGTAGTTATCGCGTAGAACCACAAATCCAGGAGCTGTAGAAATAGATAGATAGAAATAATTTTCATTTCTAACTCAAAAAAAATAAGATAAATATTTGTCCTTAGTCTGCTAAAGGGAAGCATCTGCATTCACAGCTAAGTCAAAACTACAGGTCTGTCCTTCCAGTGAGTCAACAAACATTTTTATAATTTCTTTAACAAATAGCTTGCTCTTCCTTTCATGTTCCAAATACATTATTTATGCATATTTAGTATTTGGAAATATTATAATATATTCCATATAAAGATTATTTTCTTGAGGGTATACAGCACCAAAATTTGGTCCCTGTGCTTGAGTTAAAAGCTTCCAGGGTTGGAACATCATCAGAACCCCTCTAGTGAATTACAGACTTGTAGCCATCTTTAGCTGTGTTGTTTTGAATGGCTTGAATTTTTACCTGCTTTTCTTGATTAGCTTTAGCTTTCCTTTGCAGTAAGGAAATGAAATATATTACAAAATTAATAATTAGCTTCAATACCTTGAATAAAGTTGAGTGTTCCAGTGAAGCAACTTGAATGTTCGCCTATAAATATTGAATGATAGGTTATTAAAGGTTACTTTCTGAAGAGCTTTAAACAAAACATGAGCAGAAAGAATTTTCAGTAATAGCAGACAGACCAATATTTTTAGTGTTCAAATCAGTGAGGAAAGACTTACTGGGCATCTTCTTTCACCCACCAATTCAGAAATTCTACAGAAATAATTGATAATTCAAATACAATTAATCAGAATAATTCTACATTTGGGAACATGTAGAAGAAATAAAAAATTTAAGGTATTTAGATTAAGTAGATTAAACACTGACTATGCTTCTTTAGCACATCTATTCTTCCTTGAAGTCAGTCTTTTCTTTCAAGACAGCTTCCTAATTTATGATCTCATTTTTCAAACTGCCTGTAATGCTACCTATTGCAAATTTTATGGTTGCAGTAAGGGTTTAGGAGTCCACAATAAGTAGTATTTGTTTTTCAAAATAATCCCAAACAATTATAAGACAGTCTCAGAAAGACCATAACAAAAAGTCATTTTGATAAATGAGACATTTTGAAAGTAATCTATCCAATGGCAAGGCTACAACTTTACTTGAGAAATGTAAGATAGAGTTTACTGGTGAAGACTTTATCAGCCATAACTGACTGAGCTATTACAGCACCTATTTCTCAGCTTGTCGCTACCATAAGTGTTTGGTATGAGCAAGTAAAATGTCAGGCCACCTGAAGCTTGGCTTCAGAAGACCTTCCTGTGAGTTTCTGAGGGCATCTCAACTCATATTACTGATGTTCCCTTGCTTTTCCTGAGCATCTCATAGGACTCTTTTGTACCTGTATAGTCAAGCCTGCTGATCAAACCATCTGCTTTATCCAACAGGCAGCATTTAAGACCTCAGGCTGATCCAAACTGAGATAGTTAATGATTAGGAATAGGGAATCTGAATGTTATTTCATTGGAGGAAGAAAAGGGGTGATTAATATTCATTTACTTCTGGGGACTGACATCAACCTGCTCTGATGTTCCCAACTTCCATACCATTTCCATTCAGAAACTGAATCAAAATATTTGATCACTCCATCAGCTTGAATCACATGTGGATGGCTCATGAGATGTCTAGGCAAGCTTAGTAACTGATCATTTCTAGCGCTATAATCATGAATTAGGACTGTCTTTTCAGAACTTCTACACCTTATGTACAACTCTAACTCCATAATTAGCAATGTCCAATAGTTGATTGCTTCATCTTCTAGGCCACTGTAAGTCTTCTAATAGACTTTTTACCTTCCAGTCAGCTGATCCTGCAGATGCGCTCAGGACAGTAGTCAGAACTGCTTCTGACTTCTGGATTTCTACACCTTTTTCCTGACATTTAGTTTACAGAAACAAGAATCAATTTCATGAAGTCAGCTCAGACATAGGAGCTAAAAATGCAAGTATTTTTGCCATGAAACAATAATGATAATTTTATAAAGAAAAATAGAGCAATCATACCTAAAAGTCACAGTAAATAGTAAATAAGGAAACAGAGTGATTTTGGAATACTGAATCTGAGACCTCCCACTGTGCCATCAAAGAGTCTGTAATGTAAAAAAGTGGAAGATAATTGTAGAGGTTGAAAAAGTTTTATAATAATGTGTCTCTTTTCTTATACTAACCACAAATTGAGTTATTATAACAATTATGATAACATTGCAGTAGTAGTTTATTAAAAGTAGATTCCCGTTATTATAATTTTAAATCTCAATAATAGCCATAGCCAAGAAGCCTCTTGTTGTTGTTGGGTTTTTTCTCTTTTTACTCATAAATTAATGTGCTTGAGAAAAGACCAGCTATTAACTGGGAAATATTTTGATATTTCTGTGCTTCCCAAGTGCTATTTATGTCTTTTTTGTGGAAAGACCAGTTACCTGCATCCTCTGGCAGCGGAATTCATGCTTGAAAGAAATAATACTTGACCAATGCTTGAATAGGAAATACCTAGAAAGTTTTCATCTGGTCTCTTGCTATTTGCAGAAACCTCCCTTTCATAGGGGTACTGCAAAACTCAGACCCCCCAGATTATGTTTTTCTCTGATGCTAATCAGCACTACAAAGGACGTCTTCAAATACATGACATTATCCTTAAGGGTTAGGCAAAAACTTGTCTACCTGATGTCACAAGTACAAGCTCTTTTTGACAATCCTGTTTCCTTGCATCTTTGGAGATCACATTAATGTGTAAGCCCTGAAGGACTAACAACTTCTCAGGTACACTTCCAGAGAAGAGATATCATTCACTGGATATATCAGACTAGGAGATTTTGAAATTTAGAGCATCCTAAGATTTTGTATCTCAGAACCTCCTCTACAAACTTTCAGCTGATGAAAGGAACCAAGTTGGAAAGAAACCTCTGTGTGGGTGGGGAGAAAAGGCAGTTGCAGCCAGACAGACTCTGAAAAAAAAAAAAAAAATTCCAGAGACTGGTTTCGCAGACATGAAGATGGCAAGGACACCTCATTCCTCAATAGAAAATCCAAGGGCTTTCCTGTGTCCTTACACGTGCACAAAGCAGGAGCACCAGTTTGCTAAGCCCCTGCTCCAGTGGAAGCATTTGCTACCACCCCATGCTGTCTTTGTGCTTCTGGTTGATGTGCAAGGGCAGAACTTTATCCTCTGTCTGCCAGCCCTCCTGCTCAGCCTCTCCATCCCAGAGGAGGAGATTTGTCCAACAGACACCACCTTCTCACAGCAGCTGGAGGACAGGACAGATCTGCTCTCAGTCAAGCTCTCAGTAAGCAAATACCGACACTTCGATGGTCTGAGTTTTTACAGTTGGGCACCTAAGTCAAGCAGCCCTAAGCCATCTGCGTATTTACTAGAAAATATGTGAAAAGTGGTCTAACATCTCCAACTTTGCTGAATGATCAAGTTCTTTCCATATTTAAGATGCATTAATAAGCATTCTTGACCCAATTTACAAATTTACAATTGCAGTCTTAGCTTGGAGACAAGCCTTCAGCTACAGAATGCAGGTACTTTATTAAATAATGGTTTACAAGGGTCTCTTAAAATAAAGGCTGGACATCACCTGCAGTGCATAAATGTTGTTTTAAACATTCAAGTCAGGAAACAAATCTCTTTTTTTCCAATATTCAGTAACTACAGCTAAAAATAAGCTGCTTAGCACAATAAGGAAAATATGAAGC